CCATGCTGACACTTATGTTTAAGTGTAAAACCCTCTTTAGTTTCCAGGTCCAGCACTGCCGCCTCTGTGGATTCCTCCCAAGCTCCCTTGCCTCCCCCCTGGCATTCTCACAGTGCTGCCCCACACTGCCGGACACCTGCTTTGGAAGCTTTGGGTTGCTAACTGCAAGGTCAGCAGTTTGAGGCACCAGCCACTTGGAGGGAGAAAGATGGGGTTTTCTATTCCTGGACAGAGTCTTCCTGTCTCGGAACCCACAGAGGCCATTCTGCTCGGTCCTATGGGGTGGCAATGAGTCAGAGCTGACTCGATGGCAGTGAGGTCCGTCTTGTGGTTTAAGGGTCCAACTCTGAACCATGGAATGGGAGTCTTGGGTCTGAGTGTCTGTATTTCACACTGTTAGCTCGGGTACCTAGTCTGGGGACCCTTCATCGAGCCCCTTGCTGCTCCAAAGTGTGAGCTGAGGGTCAGCAGTGTCAGCAGCACATGGGAGCTCGTCTGAAATGTCACCCCTTGAGTTCCTCCCCCGCCTGCTGAATCAGATTCTGAGTTTTAACAGGCATACCGGTGGCTGACATACGTCTGCAGTTTGACACACACACACACACACACACACACACACACACACACACACACACACACACTTCGCTGGCCAACCTGTTGGATCTCCACCATGCGTCTTGGTGCTTACCCACCATCATCAACTCGATCTCAACCCATAGTGACCCTATTGGACAGAGTAGAAGTGTCCTGGGTTTCTGGAATTGGAAACCTTTACAGGCGCAGACAGCCTCATTTTTCTTCCTGTGGCGTGGACCAGCAGCCCTGTGCCTAACCCCTAGGCTCCTGGGGCAATGGTTCTCAAAGTGTGGTCCCCAGATCAGCAGCATCAGCACCACCTGGAAACTTGATGGAGATGTAGATTCCCTGGCCCCCCCGCCAAGGCCCCATTGAATCAGGAATGATGGAGGTGCAGACAGTCTGCAGGCGCTCTGAGGCCAGCTCAAGCTTAGAGCTACTGCCCAGACAGGGAGATTACCAAACACATTCTAGCAGCACCCTCTGGCCCTGGGAAAGACTGGCCCGCCCACCAAATGCCAGGGCAATCGAAGGAGAGCTTGGTTGGGAGACGCTTTAAAAATGGTAGCTCAAGTAGAGAGCAAATGTTTTGAGGATGATGAGGGCAACAAATGGACAAATGTGATGGACACGATGGATGGATGGATGGATGGATGGCTCGTGATAAGAGTTATACGAGCCTCCAGTAAAATGATTTTTTTTAATGGTGTCTGCTCTATCAGCCGTTGCTGATAGATAGGAGAAAGATGAGGCTTTCTGCTGAGATACCCACGGGGGGTGCAGTTCTGCTCTGGCCTACAGGGTCACTATGAGTGGGAATCGCTTCAGTGGCAGGCAGGGAGAAGTTTTGTTCTTTTTGACAGCTGCTACTAAGGGCTGGTTTAACCCTGTTCCTCAGCGGCATGTTTTCATCTTTGGTCCACACAGGCCCTTCTCTATGGAATGGGTATGTTTATGTTCATAAACATATCTACGAATACTCACGTTCATCCCATATCCAGTCCTATGACCCTACCTCCCCAAATTCCCACATCCAGCGCACAACCATCTCAACGGATCCCACACTTCCGCATTTATTCTTGCGAAGCACCTGTTGGTTCATGTGCGTGAACCTTACGTTTCCGGGAATGGCATGTGCTACTGTCTTCTCCCTTTTCCCGCAGCCTACTATTTTCAAGGGCTCCCTTGGCTGTTGAAAACACACTGAATCTGTTTTTCCTAACTCCCACCGAGTGTTTCAAAGAGGGTGGTGCCCAACACCTCCATTGTTCTGTGCCGAGAGGGATCCCCAGAGGGCTTCCCACTCTTTAGTACCCCCAATAGCGAACATCCTCCCACCTGTTGCCCCGCTGACCTGCGCGAGCGCTCCTATTTACAGAGCAACCTTTGGAAATGCTTCTGTCCCAAGCGGTGCTGCCAGCGCAGCAGACTGAGCAAACACGGTCTTTGCTGTGAGAGACACCTGGCCAAGGAAGCAGAGCCCAGGGCCTTCTTCTTCCCGTGACTCATCTTCTGGCTCACAGAGAGTAGATGATAATGTCATCCATCTCATCGGGTTGAGATGAACATTCAATGAACACAACCCACTGAGCACACCCTCTGACATGCAGTAAGTATGCCATCCCGGTTCACCCAGTTCCTCCTCTCCTTCCAGCCGCGGACTTTGGAGCTCTCTCATATGGACTTTTTGGTTTTGTTCTTGCATTACGAGTCACCTTCTTTGCATGCCCCCTTTTCCAGTGGACAGCTAGCTGTGACCAGAAAGCTGTTCAGAAAAGGCAGCCCTGTCGGAGGTCAGGCCTGGTTTGGTGTCTTGTTACCAGGCCTGGGGCAGGTCTTGTCGGGGTTAGGAGATGGCAACAGGTTTGCTAAAGGGCCTGGAGTCTGCTACGAGGGTGGGGGCCTGCGATGTCACCTGGAACCCCCAGCAGCTGGCAGAGACTCCCAGGGAGATCTACTGTTCTCAGGCCCTGAGTGGAGAGCAGCTGTGTAGGCCTGAATCATTTGTAAAGTGGCAGGAGGAGGTGTGTCCTGTCAACCTCCAGGAAGGATGGGAGTTGGGTCTGTGATTTTCAGGGAATCCCTTGTATCCCCTGGACTGTTGCCAGGACGATGTGTCCTAACTACAAATGGGAGACGCCTGGGCCTGAGACACACAGGCAGCAGAGGCAGGCTAGGGCCAGCAGAGGGCGCCACACACCTCTGGACAGAGCAGGGAGCTGTCCTGCAGACTGGAGCTCGGAAAACCAATTGTTCAGGTTCCCTTGGGTTTGAGGGGTCCCTGCCCCGCTCCCCCCAACCTCTGCATCACAGCAGGAGTTTCAAAACTAACAGCACTGGATAAGTCACACATGCACACACACACCAACGCACAAACACACATATGTGCAATAATACACATGCGGTCACACAACATATGCATATACACATGTGCATACATCAGGGAGGCACCTCCACATGCACCAAACATGTGCACTGCGTGCATAAACATGCACACTGCATATACAAGTATGTATGTGTACACAAATATGTACTGTACAACATCCGAGCCCAGTGTGGACACACAGTCACCCATGGTCATACACAGCACCCTTTCATAGCCAGAAATCCTCTTGTTCACAGCAGTGTTTCCTAGAGGGCAATGAGGCTACTCATTCTCTCCAGGTTAATGAGGAAATATAGCAAAAGGTTCTTGCAAAGTTAAGTATCCACTCATTTGGCAATCATGTTCCTCCTGTGTGGGGACTGTGGGCATGTACCTTGCAGGCTGGGTCCACACCATCCACGGGCACAGCATGCCAGAGGAGCAGTCTCTGAGAAAAACGTGTGCCTCAAAACCACTAGCTTCCATTGCTGTAAGGGCTGTGAACGAAATCTCCAGGGTGCAGGGAGAGCAGCATATTGGGGTGGTGGGCTGGTGGGAGAGATGAGGAGTCTCAGCATCAAGGTCCTGACTTGGGTCAGGTGAGTGAGGCCCCAGAAGCACAAGCATTAAGGAGGCACTCACTCTCAGGTGCTGGCCGGGTATTTTTTTCCAGCCCTGAATTGAGCACCTCCTTCAATCGTGTGCCCAGCTCGTGTGGTCAGGCTCCCAAGGGTGCTGTGCATGGTTTGCTTCCCAGGAGAGTTTGGACTCTGGGAAGACGAACAGCTTATAGGGAAAGGTTCTAGAGCTCAAAGAAGGCTAGACGGCTAGTGGTTGGCTGTTGGGGTAAGGGGGTGGACCTGGGAGTTTCCTGAAAAGATATCCTTAAACTAGGACCTGAAGACAGAGTAGCAGGGTCCTGACTCGGAGGTCAGTGGGCATTGCCCCTGTGACCTCCTAGCTGGTGGCCAGGTCTAATGCCCCATGGGCCAGCCATGGAGGTGGCAGGGCAGCGTTTGGGAGCGTGGAGGATGTGCCCACCACTGCCCTGAACATAGGTGTGCTGTGTGCTGTCCACCCGTCTGCTTGACTCCTAGGGTTGTGATCACAGGGCGGACTGGCCTTCCGTCAAGTTAGCAGTGTGTTCTAGCTTGTGGGCACCAGAACGCTCCCCTTCATGGAGTGGATTATGAAACCAGTTTGTCCTGAAAGGTGGCAGAGAGGGGGCGGGGGTGTTAAGGCACATTGGGGCTTAGTTCTAAAAAAAACAAACTAGAATCTGACTTACAGGACAGAGTAGACCTGCCTCTGTGGGTTTCAGAGGTTGAACATCTTTACAGGAACAGAGAGCCTCACTTTTCTCCCTCCGAGAGGCTGGTGGGCTCAAACTGTGGACCTTTCTGTTAGCAGCCCAATGCATAACCCACTACACCACCAGGCTCTGCCCTGTGCTCAATCCCAGCTTTGTCCCTACTGGTTGCATAGGACAGTTACTTGACCACTGTGCTTCCTTTGCCTACCATAAAGTAGCACGGTTACTATTCCGGCTGCCTTTTGACAGAGTTGTAAGGATATTGCGAGTAAATACATGCACATGAAAAGCTCTATATCCTGGGACATCGGCAGCAACAGAGAAATGTCAGCTACAGTTGCTATTTTGATTCAAAATACACACTAACAACAATCGTAACATCAACCTGCTCTGCCAGACGTCCCTCTCACTCCCTTTCTGCACGCTACAGATGAAGCTGGTAGAGCGGGCACTGCAGACTCAGAAGGGCCAGGACTCCATGCAGGGGAGAGGATGAACCAGTCTGAGTTCTCTCCTCAGGGTCAGTGGTTCTCACCTGGAGGACTTGTTAACTGCAGGTGCCTGGGCCCCACCCAGGCTCTGTTACAGCAAGCGGCTCATGGGTGGCATCCAAGAATGGGCATTTCTAACAAGTTCTCAGGGTGGTGCTGTGGCCCCCAGGGGACCACGTGGAGGCCCAGGGCAGACACTTGGCATGCCTGATGGCACCCCTATCCCCAAGGAAGGGAAAGCTGGGGCCTTACTTACAGCGGGTGGCGCGCTGCAGGCAGGGCCCTCTGCAGGGGCATGCGGGTACTGAGCACCTCGTTGAAGCTTTGATGGTCCAGATTGAGTGGCGTGGGCTCATCTTCTTCAGAGATGTCCCCATACTCCTCTTCTGCCCCCTGGGCCTTCTCAGAGGCCTCCTCCTCCTGCCTCTGGCTCTGCTGCTTGATGAGCTGGTAGCTGCCACCTCTCCTGCTCTGACTCTGGTTCCTCTTGGCCCTGGGGGCGGCCACGGCCACCAGGAGTTGATCCTCCTGCAGTGAGATCCAGGGAGGCAAGCCGTCCAGGGGGCCGTACTCTCGGCCCTCATCCTCAGCCTCCAGCACCCATTCCTGGGACTCCCCAAAGTCCAGGCGGTACCCGGCCTCTGGGCTATGCCCGCAGACCTGGGTTGTGCCTGCATGCTGCAGGGCCTGCGGGGGCGGGGGCAGCAGGGCCACCATCAGCAGCAGGCACCCCAGCAGCAGGAGCAGAAGCAGGAACTGCAGTCCCCAACGTCCGTGCCGGTAGAGCTTCCTTAAGTGCATGTTGCTGGAACCTGCCTGGCGCAACAGGTCTGCTCAACTTGGCTTTCTCATCCTGACTTCCAGCTTGCCGCACATCTCCAGTTCCTGGTCTACCTGGGAGGCTTCTGCCTCTCACTCAACCTGCCGCTCTGCCATTTGTGAACGAGTGCCAAAGGCGCGCTTCCACTTGTCATGAGCAAGCCAGAGGCCCCAGGTTCCAAGCCAGGTTCTGTCTGTCTGGGTGGACTTGCCTAATGGCCTCTGAAAGTCCAGCCACGGGGATTTCAAATTAAAAAGCTTGCCCCGCCTCGAGCCCCCTTTTGCTTCCCGGGAAAATAATTATTCCATTCTGGTCAGGTGTTTCGTTCCACGTGTTTCCTTGCTCCGCCTTGCGTGAATGCTCACGTTGCTAAGAGGTGCCTGGGGTGAGCTGGGGGGTCCTCAGTCCAGCAGAGCTGACAGCGGGCTCCCTCTGGACACTTCCAGGCGGGTCAGATCAACAGATGCAAAGCCGGCAGGCAGTGCCTGGTTTCCTTTCACACATAGCTCCGCACTCCTCTGCCAGACCCAGCTCAGAGCCAAGCCAAGCGCCAGCCTTGCCCTCGGTCCTAAAGCCCTCACTGTTCCCGGGCTCTGGCGGGATCCCAGGAACACAACCTCTTGAGAAAATAAAAGCCGTCATGGCTAGAACCGAATTCAAAACAAGAACATCCCAAGAGTTCCAGTTTGAAGCTTGCTCGCAGGAGGATTTTTTCCCCCCTTATCCCAAGGGGCAAGAAAGAACATCCCTTCCTAGTTTCACAACAACTGCGCTCGTGGCATGGAAGCGAGAAGCCCATTGTCTCTGGGCAGCCTCAGCCTCCCTAAAGGTGCCTGGGCTGCTACGCTGGACTCTCCCTGACCTGCTCTGAGGACCACTGCTCCCGCCCCTCTGAAAATGTCAAGGGGGTGGGAAAGGTGCTCTTGTCAGACCTCCCTTCTGATCCCATAAGAGCAACCACATGCCTGTTCTGTGCTGGCCATCCAAAGGGACTCAGAAAAGGAATGGGATGTTCCTTCTGCCAGAACACTAATGAGCAACCTACTATGTGACACCATTCTTCCGTGTGAGCGTGCTTGTGTGTGTGTGTGTGTGTGTTAGGGGGGAGGGGGAAGAAGGGGTGCTGAAGGTTCAGCAAGGAATAAAACAAACATGTATGCCTTGTCGTGGAGTTTACTAATACTAAAATTAGTATTCTATTATATAATTAGTTAAAGCCATAATCTGTGATAAAGGCTGGGGAGCTTGGTGGAAGAGGGCAGCAAATGGACAGAGGGATGAGGGATGGCTTCACAGGAGAGTGAGCATTTGCACAATGACAGCAGGCGGTAAGAGGGAGGGCCACAAGGCTACCTGGGTGAGTTAGTCC